TTATTGCATTAGTATTTTCCCGCCCAATTGGCGTTTAACGCAGCTATTCGTTTTCTATACCCGTCATATGCTACCTGTACCGTGGCGTTAAATATTTATCGCAAACAAAACGGAGCTATAATAATAAGATTTGCTTCAATAATTTGAGTTTAACTTTTTAANATGCTACCTGTACCGTGGCGTTAAATATTTATCGCAAACATAACGGAGCTATAATAATAAGATTTTCTTCAATAATTTGAGTTTAACTTTTTAAACTGGTGGCCACCCTCTTCAGGCACCTCAAAAATATAATAATTTAACTAAATTTAACTTTTGAAACAGATGGCAACCCTCCTTCATTTAGCTAGAAAATACAACTTATTCAAAACCATTTCTTTTGATACCCATATTGGGATAATTCGTTTAACTTAATAAATAAATTGAATTTGATTTTCGTATATATGGCAACCCTTTAAAAGACTAAAACCATACTGCACATCTGCAGGTCAAGCCCTTTCATGTGACACCTCATTTTTGAAAATCGTACGAACGATACAGATTTTATGACGTGGTGTTAAATATTTAACGCAACCCTCTGCGGCAGAGAAATTTTGAATTCGATTTTCTAACATGTGGAAACTCCTTTCATGGAACTAAAGCTACGTTGCACACCGAAGGACAAGGCCTCTCTTGTGACACCTCATTTTTAAAAATCGAACGAACGATACAGATTTTATGACGTGGTGTTAAATATTTAACGCAACCCTCTGCGGCAGAGAAATTTTGAATTCGATTTTCTAACATGTGGAACTCCTTTCATGGAACTAAAGCTAGTGTGACACCCGAAGGACAAGGCCTTTCATGTGACACCTCATTTTTAAAATCGAACGAACGATACAGATTTTATGACGTGGTGTTAAATATTTAACGCAACCCTCTGCGGCAGAGAAATTTTGAATTCGATTTTCTAACATGTGGCAACTCCTTTCATGGAACTAAGGCTATGGTGTACACCCGAAGGACAAGGCCTTTCATGTGACACCTCATTTTTTAAAATCGAACGAGCGATACAGAGTTTATGGCTTGGTGTTAAATATTTAACGCAACCATCCCCGAACTCGATTAAGAAGTTTCACTTCAAAAATGTTTGGCTATCAGAGAACTTAGATTGATAGAGAAGGTGCAAATTGAAACTGGAAACTATTCTCGGACGAAAAATTAACAGCTTTAAGCTTAGTATCCAGCTCTTAAGAAAACGGTCAAGAAAAAATTGCCATTATTTCGCGTGTGTGTCCAAGAATTTTGACATTTTTTATACCTCACAGCCTGTTGCCTCACTCTTTCCTCAAGAAATAATGGAACGGGCATATATTTCTGTTGCAAGCCTGGGTTGCCTTGTGCTCTTTTTTCACAAAAAACTTTAGAAAACCGTAGTAGAAAGCGTACTAAATTTCTGAAGAACTGCGTACTGCCTTAAGGAAATTTGACTCAAGAAAATTTCTTAGCCATTTCTTGTACGTCATTTTATATGGAGTTTTTGCTTTTCTTAAGAGCTGGAT